CAAAGGCACTTTTTCCAACATATGCAACTGTCGAAGGGACAGACACTTCTACAAGATTCGAACAGCCAAGAAATGCCATGTTTCCTATGACCTCAGTTCTCGATGGAAGCCGAACGAGCGTCACAGAGGAACAGTAATAGAAAGCCGAAAATCCAATCTCGACAAGGTTTTCCGAGAACTCGACATCTGTCAGGCCCTTACACCGAGCGAAGGCGCTTGGTTCTATTTTCTTGACGGTCGGATCGATTCTGACTCGAATGACATCCTTGGGGACCTTTTGATTGCCACCCAAGTAGACAAACACGGTATCGCTTTCGTCATTATCCATTGATGATTGCACTGTTGCGTTCGATTTGCTAATTGGTGATTCAGCATTTGTTTTCTTTTCGTCCTGTGGCTGACGTTTTGTGTTCCACGATGGGGACAGTGCAGAAGATACGAAAGAAGACATGGATGCCCATGTCTTAGATTTTCCTTTCACTTGCTTTTGAGATGTATTGTTTGTCGTTTCTGTGATTGCTGACGCGGCATCAACTATCTCGGTAGCAGCCTCTATCTCCTTTTCCAATATCTCTGCATTTTCAGGAGTAGTCGTCTTCTGTGCCATTTCTTGTTTGGTACTTTTAGGTACGATGTTCTTGCCCACAGATTCAACAGAAATCGGTATCTTGATAACATCCAACTTGTTACTGTTCGCAAAAGCACCATCATCAATTCGAACAAGCCCTTCGGACAGTGATACTGTCACTAGCTGATCACATTTTGCAAAAGCTTTCTTTCCCACAACTCCCACAGTCGCTGGCAGGTTCACTTCTTCAAGACTTGAACACCGAGAGAACGCTTCGACCTTGATTTGTTCTAGTCCATGATTGAACACGACATCCTTCAGCTTGATGCAGCCTGCAAACGCCATGTTACCGATGACAAGAGTCGTTGATGGAAGACGAGCAAACCCCAGAGACGAACAACAGTAGAATGCTGAAAATCCAATTTCTTCCAAACCTTCCGAGAAGTCCACGTCGATCAAATTCTGACACCGGGCGAAAGCACTTCGCTCAATTTTCTTGCAGGAGGGATCGATTTTGACCCGAATGACATCCTTGGGGACCTTCTGATTACCGCCCTTGTACACAAATACAGAACTGTCTGTTGCAATACACATGGTGT